TCGCCATCTAGGCGCCGCCAAAGCTGAGGGAATGGTTGTGGTATCTTGAAGACGCATACGCGGCTGTGCCGTATCGTACTGTGTGTAGACAGTTGCTGTACAACTGCCGTACAGCAGTACTCGGCTTACACCATATGCATTTTTGTAATGTCTCCACGCTGCAGCATGCTGTCGCCTTCTCAAGCGCAAGCAATACTAACTGAAGTATTTTCTTCCAAATCCTCACGTGCATCGTGCACACGGAAACGTGCTATAATATATGCCTGAAACACACACTCCAAGTTGCAAGTACAGATCTACTGCTGTAGGAAGGAATTGGACAGTTTTTTTTTGTTGTTGTTGTGGTACGCCCAGCATGGTTGTGCTTTGAGAACACGCATGCACATCTCACGAAACTGCAAGTTTGTTTGTCTTTCGTAACACTGTCAACGACGCTGTATGTAGTATTGAGAAGGTGCTGCTGTAGTCTAGACTACCATATGCAGGTGAACGGTAGAGAGTTTACGTTTTTGTGCGGTGTGCCACTACAAGAAACCATAGACTAATATCCCTGCCTGTCGTTCACAGGTGAACGGTAGATCAATTTGGAGTCAAACCACTTCATTATCAATTTTCGTGGATACCACACCGTGTGTATTGAGGAATTGGACATCAACGGTTGTTTGTTGATTGATTGTTGTGGTACGCCACAGCTTGTGCTTTTAGCCTGAGATAGGACATGCATGCATGCATATCTCGCGAAAAAATTGCTTCACGACCCTGCAAATGTGTTTGTCTTCTGTATTACGACGCTGTAGTCAGTTTTGAAGTTGCTGCTGTAGCTTACACGAACCATGCACAGATGAACGGCTTTTCCAGCTTCGCGCCCTTGGTATGATGTGCACAGTCTTCACCCACCACCATTCCTTTCAGCGTAATGCTGAGCTGAAGGCGAGGGCGCCTGGTGCCCGAGCATGGAGGCCTTGTATAGAGAACGTGATTATTGGTTGCCTCAGACCGAGCACGTTTTTTTCTTATTATCATCCACCTACCTGTAGCTAGGAATAACGGGGTTGTTGTTCTTATTGCCACGCCGATTGCCCCATGAAGAAGACAAAAATCGTTCTGATGGATGGGTAGATTTAACGAGTACGGCTGAAGCGTGTTTTAACCCTTCTACAGAGTAGTACTTTGAACTAGCAGGGTACTGTGGAAGCCCAAATGGGGACACTTTGGGGACAAAACGCTCAATTGCCTGCTTACCGCACCGCGGTCGTCATGCTGCGTGAAACGTGCGTGAGGGAAACCTTGGTCAAGCTTGCTTGTGTGACGTGCTGCGCTGTGTGATATGCATATACTGCTGTGTGATGCCTTTTTGCCTCTCCTGGGCCTCTGACGTGCCATACGCAATCTCACAAGCCGCGGGCCCCCTTATTGGTAAAACTGCATACAGCCTAGTTTTCTGGAATAGTTTACTGACTTGGCTTCAGAAAAGAATGAGTTCCCAGTCCAATTGGGGACACTTTCCATAGTGAAGCCAAGTCAGCCTTCGGCCCTCGGGACTGCACAGCCTCTCCCAATGAGCGGACGCCTATATTTCTGAACCCATAACCTGTAACTAACCGGGTACTAGGAGGGTTAACGCCAGCAGAACATTCTGACACCTCCGCGCTAGACGCAAGGAAGCTAAAATGGCACTACCGTTTGTATGAATATGTGGGAAAGGGCAGGTTGCCGAGAAAGCTCGGGAGGAAAAGTGGGAAAAGGAGAAGGTGGGTAGACAACCGATGGAAGTAAATCGGAATCGACGAAGTTGATACATTGAAAACGCCAGGTCTAGAGTAGGGGTTCAAGCTGTTGCTTTTGCCGAGGGAGAACATAATCTAACAAAAGAAACCACAAGGATGAGGAGGGTCCAGATGCATACGGAAAGTTGAAAGAAGGAGACGGGTTCAAGGAGTGCCTACATGGACCAATCAATGCAGGGACAAAACTGAAGGCCAAATTTAGGACTGGGGACATTCGAGAACGTAGACGAAGGTTCAGGAAGAAGGTAGACGATGACGACCACAAGTTGAAAGGTGAAGGCGGCTCCGAGTGCGAAACCGGGTTCATTGGTTGCGGAATGTCCGTTGTACAACAAGTAGAGAGGAACGTATGCATGCATGACTGGGCTGGGAAAAGTGGAGGAAGGAACAGGAAGATGTAAGATGTACAGCATATCCACTATGCTACAAGTCAGCACTGGCATCTAGCATTGTGGATTAATGCTGCATGGAACAGACGGTAGCTGTACTGGGGCATATGTAGGTAGTGAGTTGAAAAGGCGGGAAGTGCTATCGATAGGATAGATAAGCTATGGAAACATTTTGGGCCACCTTTGGTACAGTAGGAAGGAACGATTGGTCGGCGGTGGTCGGTCCTGTGGGAAGAATGCTCTCGAAAACGCGTGGTCAATATGGTCAAACCGCTAAGGCAGGCAAAACATGCGAGTACCCGAATCTGAAACAATCTGCCTTTGGGGTCACCCCCCACACTCCTTAATTCTTGTGGTGCAACCGCCGTGTGTGGGCTCCGTTGTTATCTGTACGCACATTGGAACACCACAAAGGCGGGTTTTTGTTATTAATGCCACGTCGAAACTGAACACCTGTTACTATACTCCGAAGTTCTTAGATATTTGTATGTTTTGAGGCTCGAGTTCTCACTGTTTTTAAGTGGTGGCGCGTTCTGTATGCGTTGCACTTGCGTGGCGTGTGTTGCTCGGTGCAATATATCGATTCTTCGTGGTTGGACATTTCAAACACAGCTGATCTCAGCCCTTCACGTGTAAAGGAATACTTGCTCGTCAAGTGACAGCGATGCCATTCGTTTGCGGTCATATGTTGACTGATTTGAATTTTGAGAATACTCGCCAAGAGCACCCAAAAGTGCGCTTGAGATACAGAAGACCATTCGGAAGGCTTCGGAAAGAACAGAAATCGTTGATTCTCGCACAGGGCGGCTGTAGAAGCTGCTCGAAGCATACCACACCCTGTACAAATAACAATGCAAAAATACAAATGGTATTTGTGCGGGGCCGCAAATCCCCGTTATTTGTTTGGAAGCAAGTATTTGCGCACGATCTTGACTCAGTATTTTGTCTGGAAACAAAAAAGTTGCACACGTTCTGCCGAGGGTATTTGGCTGGGAACAAGTACAAGAACAAATAGATATGAGACCTCCTCCAGAGGGTATTTGGCTGGGAACAAAACAAATACCATATGAGATATCATCCAGAGAAGGAAGTCGAATATTATTTTGAGAAAAGAAAGAGGCATCTATTTCATAGCTTATTGAGGACCGTGAGCTGCCGTGCACATGCTCACACACCACTTCCACACACATCACACATCACTCGCACACACACACACACACACACACACACACACACACACACACACACACACACACACAAACACACGCGCGATTGAGAGTTACCTGTTTCTGTTTAAACGTATGAAAGGGGGGGCATCATCTGGTTGTTTTCAGGTGCACCCACTCCTAACACCTCGGTCAATCAGGTAATTTGTAGGAAAGTTCCACGATAGTTTCAGTTTTCTTCGATTTGCACTCTATCGAGCTCACATCCTGCACGTGCTCTCCTGAAAACTGACCAGCCACCCACGGTTCACACTTTTGACCAAGTATTTGTTTGGAAACAAATACAACGGTAGTTTGCACACGAGTTTGGCCCAGTGGACTAGTTGTCAGGAGAAAATATTTGCGCACGATTATGATCCAGAATTTGTCAAGAGACAAATATTTGCGCACGATTCTGATCGAGCATTTATCAAACCAAACAAATGGCAAAAGAGTATTTGAACAGGGTGTGAAACATACATAAAATGAATTTCTACCTCCGCACGTCTCCTTTCAAATCAAGATAATCGAACTGAATAGTACTACACTAAATCAAACAAGCCAAAACGGCAGGCGCTCAATTGAGGTCCATTTAGCATTCTAACTGCACCTTAGTACTGATATCACTAGAGGACACCATGACGAGGCGTCATGTGTGCTGGCACCCTCAGGTTTCCTGCTGGAGCTAAAATATCGAGGGTCTAGCCGCCTACAATCTCAGCAAATCTTCGCAAATTTGACCAACACCTCGTGTTTTGTATTGCTTGTGCTCACCGCCACTGACCCCAATCTCCTGAACTCTGGGTTAACAGCAGTAGCTAATGCCACCAGCTTTGATGACGACCACTCGTTCGGGGGGTTGCGGTTCGTGGCGGCGAGCACAAGCAGTACAAGACACGGAGCGTCGGTCTAGTTTGCGGAGATTTGCCGAGAATGTAGGCCGCCTCTACCGTACGATCTTCGATATTTCAGCTCCAGCAGCAAACCTGAGGGTGCCAGAACACATGACGCCTCGTCATGGTGTCCTCTGGTGATATCAGTACTCAGGGGCAGTTAGACACAGCGGGAAGGTTGTTTTGTATATTGGATTGAGTATGGATACAGAGCCAGCGTCAGAAGGGGGTTGAGATCCCTCCATTAAGCAATGGGACGGCCGGGGGACGAACACCGCAGGAAAAACGTCTAGTTGGTCGTACAGAGAACATGCAAATTAGTGTAATCAAAGTGTAGTGTGAGGAGAAAAAAAAAACACGTACATGATCTATGTACACATTTCATGACGGTTCACAAACGCTGCGCTGTCGTGATGCGTCTAACTTTTGTGGAGGTCGCTGTTTAAGCCAACACACCCACAAGCCCACTCTCTTTACAAAGAAACTCGAGCATTCCCATTGTACCAGGTACCATAGAGTTTACACACACCTCTGTGAAGTAAGATGCCAGACAATTTGTACTTAGTATTTCGTTACTTCAAGGGTTTTGGAGAGGACATACCAGCCGTTCCATGACAAGCGCACCGTCATACCTGAATACACGCGGGAAATTCCTTTAGGGATGAACGCGATATATCATCCCGGGTGTTCTTTCCTGACTCGCAAATGCTGCCTTTGAACAATCAGGAACAACACACTGGGTTGGGTTTTCGTCCTGCCGGAAAAGAGTCTGGGGAATGCAAGGCTCCAATGCAAACGGTGTCCTTCCGATTGGAATTGCAGACCGTATTCGCAATGCCGGGTGCCTTTTTCTGAATTCGACACGTGGTGCGGTTGAGGGTCTCTCCGAAATGAAGGATCTTGCAGAGATCGACACGAGCCGCATATTCGCCTTCGATGGACGGCATGCAGCGATATTGGTGACAGAAGATTGCACTCGGGTATTCTGCCAACAAATTTCAGCCGGCCTCTACGATTTAGGGTGAGCAAAGGAAACCATCTACTGTAGACAGGTGTAGTTAGTTCATGCATGCCAACTGTGTCTTCTTTCGGTTTCTTCATCCCCATGGGGGCCACGTCCTTCTAAAATTGTTGCTGTTGTACGTCATACCTATGTTGTTGACTTCACATCAAAACCGTTCCGATCGTTTCGGGCTACTACCTAGTACCTTCATATTTCTGTTAGTAGTTATTTTTCCTTCTCGTTGTTTACTCTTATTATTCTCGGCTCACATTTTTTCGTTGCACAGTACTGTACATTAGTTACATTTACCTAAAACTAAAAAGTAAATGTATCGACCACTGCCGTACCGAATGCAGGGTAATTGATTGATGACGCGCGTGTTGGTTGTATGGAGCAAATACATGCTTTTTAACAGGAACTATGCATTGCCCACGAAATGAAATAGCCGAAAAGTCCCGAACTAAATTAATTGACGACAGTATCAACCACAGACGCGCAGCGCACGTCGGCCGTTCTCGCAGACTTGCTCGACCTCTATCACCTCATGGCCCTTTTGCGGGGGGGGCTCCACCTTCGTCAAACCTACGAACTTGAACACCATTTGTGAGCCCGCACAAGAACCTATTGACTATGGCGGCCATCTGTAGCCCACAAATTGTAACTAAAAACCTCAGCTTCGGCCAAAACTAGAGGTTCGTAAGTGCGGGCGTATCTGTAGTTATATTACCCAAGCTCCGTTGTGCTCCCCGCCAGCTCCTCCGCGCTCTTTGAGTCCAAGAAGTGGAGGTCGGGAGGAGTAGAGAGGTTCCGAGAATCGGCCCGGCAAGAGCGAGCTACATACCTGCTCAGTATCTCCTACACTGTTATCAGTTTGTGGTGGCACACCATAATCCACCACAATACTTCAGCATCTTGCTTTCCGCTTTTGCTCTACGTTGGTGATAAAGTAGCGGCTGTTTTAACCCCATATTGATTTTCATGTTTACAAATCGTACTGGGGGACGGGCAACGTAGAGAGCCTCCGCGACCCAGTGTAACGTGGGCTAGCCATTTCTATCTACTCAAGATTGCCTGTGGCAGTCTCTGGGTTGTGAGGCATGTGGATGTCATGTTCCGGCTGGCATCAATCCCTACTGTTTTCGGAGGGCATGTACAACGCAGATAGTCACAGGGTATTGGTCCAAAAAGAATTTCGGCCGCTCATTGAGAGAGGCTGTACAGTCCCGAGGGCCGAAGGTTGACTTGGCTTCAGTATGGACGGTGTTCCCACATTCATTGGAGACACTTTCTATTCTGAAGCACGTCAGCTTTTTTTTCATCACTAGGCTGTACAGACGTTACCAACAAGGGGGCACACGGCTTGGAGATATGTGTACAGCAAGTCAGAGGCCGAGGAGAAGCATGACAACGTACATTACACCACAAGCATGGTAGGTCAAGGTTTCCCACGTGCTTTTCATACAGTGGAGCGACTACGGTGCGATCAACAGATATTTGAGTGGTGTGTCTCCGAAGTGTCCCCATTTGGGCGTCCAGTACCAACAGAACATATTGAAATTGATGGCAATATTTTTACTTCAGACGTGGCCTTTGAGAAGTATCACTCGCGGTTACTCTTGGTGTGATTTCTGGTCGTTGTAGGTGTTATTGTTGTTGTCTTCACGTAAAGGTCCATTCCGATCTCTGTTCGGACATTTTTACATACTGGTCCAACTAACGCGGACGCTTTCCGAATGATGCGACTACGGTTGTTTTCTGACAAGATTAATGGCAGCAATGAAACTCCCTAAACGATGCCACTGTATCATGCAACTACAGCAGTAAGGTTTCGATAGCGCGTAAAAGCGCGTTGAGTCTAGCCTAAGTAACGGGGTCACCGGATGATATCGTGACCGGCTGGCCCACGCCAAGTCCAGCCTCCTTCATCGGGCAACCGCCTTATTCACCCCACCTTACATCGGAATATCGGCTTGCAGGTTGTGTGCTACGGAGTGTACGGTGTAAAGACTTCCGTACCGAATAAATGAATTAAGTAATATCCCAGCACCCCTAACATCTAGACCGTACCCACTAGCCTTCCTACCTGAAGGCCTCCTCTCTGAAGAGCTCCGATCCAGGTTTGCACACGAACATTACCTCTGACTTGCATGCTTGTGTTATTCACCGCGAGAGGGGTCAGACGTTCTTCCCTGAAGCACGCCTGGCCGGGAACCGCCTTTGCCAGCAGTAGTTATTTTTCGTACTCATCACCGTGGGTCTGCCATCTTTTTCATCGCAATCTCGTAGTTGGAACGGTCTGTGACCAAGAAAGGCCGGGTCCTTTATCGGCCAGACTAGAGCAAAAGGGGTTGCTACAAGAGATATACTCGTATAATTTCTGACCTGGCAACAGCAGTAACAACATGGAACAACGAAATGGGTGCGTAGGTTGCTAAGTGTACTGCTGTGCTGTTGGATCTTGAACAGATCACAATTTGTGCGCGCATGGCGTTCTCATCAGTCAAATTTGTCCTTGCACCGACGGGTATATGGCAAGAGGGCACGCCCCCGCTGCCCTCCAGCCGTCAAATCGTACTGCGATTTATTTTCGTACGGCCTACAGCCATTGAGTGATCCAATCCACTCTGATGTTCAATAGCAGTGCCGGTACATGTATTGAGGGAATCTAAAACCTCGACGCAGCCACAACAGCTTTGTACAAGGCCGGCGCCCTCTGCAAGGCCGATTCAAATCCCTCGGCACTATGAGGCCTTGTGCGCTGCTACCGTAACGTTTGATGAGATCTAGGGATATTGTGCAGGCGTCCTCCATAGGTTGTTTGACAGGCCAAAAGTTGCAAGCGAAGGGCTATGGGCCTCCGTCTCACTACGGCTGCATCACTCGAAAACCATGTGGTAATTTTGGTTTTCTCCCTTTGTTGTGCCAGAGTGTCTATCGAGCCAAGACCTGACTGGCAAGACATCCTTGATGCAGCTGCATCATCTCTCATTCCAGATGGCGTGGGAAGTAACGCGTGCGGAGCCGTCAGCGGAATGGAACCGCTATTCAAGGCGGTACCCTTGTGGGCATCTGTGGTGCATGTGGCGCCACATCGGGTGCGTGCGTGCCATTCTTAGCTTCGTGCGTGCCATTCTTTAGAGTGTTCCAGCTTGGGCGTGTTTCGGCTCCTTCCAGTCGATCTGATGGATGCACCACTGTTGTCGCACTGCAGGCGTGTGTGCCATGAGCAAACCACCGCCTTATTCGCGACGCGCCTTCTAGGTCTCAGTTCACCAACGTAGCGCTGACGGCGCCACGGATGGCGTGGCTTTTCAACACTCCCTCGTAAGCGGAGATGGTGGGCTTGTCTCAACGGCGAAGGAAGAAATGTACCACAGCAGCGTTCAAGATGCATTCGTCATTTTCAACACCCATCCTTCCGGTTCTACGAGGTTTGTCGAACATTCTCGAGCGTTGACGAGTGGACACACCCATTCTTCCGAACCACGCCGCACGGTGCCCAAGAAGACCTCGCCACCCAAGCGCAAGAGGAAGGACCCGAATCGTCCGCGTGGCTATGTCAGTGCCTTTAACTTCTTCGTCAAGGACAAGCGATCAGCCTACGTTCGGGATGCGCAGGTGACACGCCTCTCCCTGTTGGTTTGGACATGTCTACCACGTTCCCCCAGAGTCTTTTTCACCATCTCAAACTGCCGTTATCCGCCGACTGAACACCTTTGTACACTTCAACAACATGTCAGGGGGTTTCTCCCGGAAACAACAATGAAGTGAACAAAATGCTTGGTCAGGCTTGGAAAGAATTGACCACCGAGGAGAAGAACTGTTATCAAGCGCGGTCAGACGTGGACAAGTGTCGCTACCTGAAGGTGAGTTAAAATGTGGTCTACTCGATTTATTCCAAACTGACGAGCACACCATGATCGTTCAGCGACACTACACGTTATACCTGGTACTCTCAACGAACACTTCTGAGCATGGTTGTTTTAAACCTTCTTTTGCTTCTCATGCAAACGACATACCTAGTATCCGGTAAGCTTGCGTTGGTCTTGATCTGAACGGCCTCAAGCATCATTCTGAGACCAACTCGCTGAGACTGATGAATGTACTGCAGCGTGGGATATTGCCTATTGATCGCAACCACGGAATACGTCGGTAATGAGGACATCGGTGGGTCCAGGCACGTTCATGGCATCCCCGGCGGTTACATTTCGCTCGTGTTGTTTGATTGTCAACAGTAAGCACGAACCGAGGATTAGATCTCCCAATGAAAACGCGTACCATGTAATGTAACAAGGGTGTGTGCCCGACACGAGATAAGGTGCCCCAAGCCTTATATACTGACATGTGGTGCCCACATACCCTCCCGGATACGAGCGAGCGGACAGCTCAGCATCGTAGACAAATACGCGGGTACCACGACGCACCCCCGTCGCATGTACGGTAACCGGAACCCGACCGGCTGGCGGCGGACAAAAAAAACATTTTCATGTGCCCGGATTAGAACCCGGGACGTTGACATTGCAGAGATGACATCCTGTCGCTGACGCCACTGTAAGCAGGGTGTTTGCCCGACACGAGACAAGGTGCCCCAAGCCTTATATACTGACATGTGGTGCCCACATACCCTCCCGGATACGAGCGAGCGGACAGCTCAGCATCGTAGACAAATACGCGGGTACCACGACGCACCCCCGTCGCATGTACGGTAACCGGAACCCGACCGGCTGGCGGCGGACAAAAAAAACATTTTCATGTGCCCGGATTAGAACCCGGGACGTTGACATTGCAGAGATGACATCCTGTCGCTGACGCCACTGTAAGCAGGGTGTTTGCCCGACACGAGACAAGGTGCCCCAAGCCTTATATACTGACATGTGGTGCCCACAGGAACTATATTGTTTCGGATAGTTCTGACGTGGGAGTAGTGGTGCCGTGCTAGTGTTTGTGTCCCGGTACGGCGGCTGCTCCAAAGGGAAACAACCTCAGGACAACGCGCCAAGCCGAGCCGGACTATCGCCCTACAAACTGTTTTCGTTGTCCCCTGGAGCATGCTCAACGACAAGAGCGTTCGAGTTTTGGTCTCAGATGGTCCAAGTCGACAATAATTTATGGAGCAGTGTAGGTGATAATTAAGAAGGCAGTACATTGGGGGTGGAAATTAGGCTGAACAGAATGTAGCCTTTAGTGCCAAAACGTGATGCACAACGTGCCCCGCTAGTCGATGGAGGAAAAAAAGGCTATGCCTAGAACTGCTCAAGTAACCTACGACGGTTGGTCAATGCGAAGGCAACGTTGTTTCGAGTCCCTGGTGATTGGGCCCAACAGTGTAGGTGATGATTAAGAAGGCGCTACATTGGGGGTGGAAATTAGGCTGAACAGAATGTATCCTTTAGCGCCAAAACGTGATGCACAACCTGCCCCGCTAGTCGATGGAGGAAAAAAAGGCTATGCCTAGAACTGCTCAAGTAACCTACGACGGTTGGTCAATGCGAAGGCAACGTTGTTTCGAGTCCCTGGTGATTGGGCCCAACAGTGTAGGTGATGATTAAGAAGGCGCTACATTGGGGGTGGAAATTAGGCTGAACAGAATGTATCCTTTAGCGCCAAAACGTGATGCACAACCTGCCCCGCTAGTCGATGGAGGAAAAAAAGGCTATGCCTAGAACTGCTCAAGTAACCTACGACGGTTGGTCAATGCGAAGGCAACGTTGTTTCGAGTCCCTGGTGATTGGGCCCAACCACAGTAATGAATGGCACCTGCAAATTGCCACCCGCGACGAGTTGTATGCCTTGCACGTTGAGTGCCGGGGAAGAAATACGGGCGCTGTATGGGCGCTTGTTGGCTGTGTCTCATCCTGCCAACTGAGATGCCACTTCTAACCCCAAAATCTCTACCAATTTGCCAGGGTGTTAAACATGTGCACTGTCTGAAATTGTAGCAGATTCCCTTCTTTGGTTCGAGAACACGAAAGTGGGTGGAGATGTATTTAAGTCCAACATGAAGTGCGGCGCTGACTCGCGCGCCCTGCCTGAGCCAAGTCGGTCCACGGATACATGTGTGTAGGCTGGAGCGAAGTGTAACGATAATTCTCTGTCGATCTACCGCCACCTAAGCATGGAAGGAAAATAGCTGTGCGCACAAACGAGGAAACCCATAATGCTCCATCGCTTCAATGCTCCATGCGCTCGCGCGCAATGGGTGAGGAATTCGCAACGAAAGTAGTTGCAGGACATTAGAACACACAGTGCACAATAGCAGGTGCGTGCAACAAATGCCTTGGTATCTCACCTGAACGAACCTTCTGTGTCGCCAGTTCGTGTCCTTGAACATGCTCGGGAATGATCGGGGTGCCTGGGCGCAAAGGAAAGGAGGAAATAGAATGGGAGAGTATTGTCATGTTGAACGGTTGTCCCTACCCCACCTAAGCGGCGTGTGGGTTCTGTTTGGAACTCGTTTTAGGCGATTCAGCCCGCTTTGCACAGTCTACGGTACCGTAGCGGTTCCTATTCTGTTAGTTTGGCGATATCTGAAGATCTTTCAACTTTGCAAGCCGCAGTACTACTGTACAAGTAGTTTCAAGAACGTGCTGTCGGTTGTTTCAGCCTCCGGCTCTTCTACGAGGAGGGAAACCAAGGCACACGAGATGTCGCGCGCCGTGTGTCATGCCAAGCGCGGCCGCGGTCGTGGCGCAGTGAGCGTGAGGAGGTGGCGGCGCAACCGGCTGCGGCAAACAAAAAATAGGTCTTTCTGTGAGGGCAGCCTCACCAGAGTGCCGGCTTCGGTCCGACATCGCGGTGGGTATGCCCAGCGGCGTCAACTATGTTTTTCATGTACCCACTTGTGTCTGTATTTTGACCCACTTTAGTCCAAATGGTACCCACTTTTGTCCACCCGTGGACGGCGGAAATCGAGCGGAAATCGACCTCCACGTCACCGCACAGCAGAACATCGAATAGCCTCGGGACGTCTCAGAACCTCCCAACGCCGTTTCCATGGCATCTTTCCTATCCATGGCTGCCGACTGCGGACCGACCACGGAGGAGCACGTCAGAAACATGCCAGACCCCTTCGGTACCGGCACGGGAAGATACCCGCGGCAAGCCCGGCAAGCAGCGCACTAACGGCACGCCACAGATAAATGCGTGATACATAACGGACAACAAAACCAACAGGCGCGTATACATAACAAAAAGACGCGCACATAGTAACACACACACACGTTCCACATATACTAGATCGGGAAGTGGAATAGTTTTTTGTTGAGAAACGTACCTGCAGTAGGCTCGTACGTTGCTACCATTGACCCGTCTTCTACACAGCAGTATTACAATATATTGATTGAGGTGTGGAGGGCGCCAATCAATGTGATGGACTCCGAAAAAAAAGAATGTCTTGGAAAAAAAAGACATCTCCACACGGACGCGAACCCATGATTTCGAGAGTCAGGGTGGCCTTCACCGAGTTCACGAAGTGAATTGGCTTTTTTACGTCGTTGCCAAGCGACGAAAACCCAATCCCGATGGCAAACACCGAGGGGGGGGCTTGTTTTACAACTTCGTTGCCAAGCGACGAAAACCCAACCCCGATGGCAAATACCGGGGGGGAGGGAGGGGTGTGGTATATTAAAAAATAGGGCTAGCAGCTAAAAAAATAAATGTCTCTGCTGTTGTGCTTCGCTTGTTGGTTCGAGCTTTGATGGAGAAATCTCAATAGCGTTCAAGCGTGTGATGGGTAACCAGGCTAGCACGGGAGGCACTGGTCGCACACTAGGCTTTCGCGCACAATAGTGTAGAGTGGCGTACAGCAGTACATGTCGCACCAATGGTGGTGCGTAGCAGCGTCTGTGTGTTGTTGGTGTCATGTGCCCCTCTCCGCGGAAAGAGAGAGAGAGAGGCCGCTGCTGCTGCTGCTGCTGCTGCTGCAACCAAATGTTGATCTCTCCTCTTGCTTCCTCCGCCAATAGCTAACAGCAGCAGTGTATGGCACACCCTTCTCCCGCCGTCTCGCCCTCGCTGTGGTCTGTGTCTCCCCCTCCCTGTTTGTCCATGTTTGGCTCTGTGTGTGTGTGGTGTGTGGTGTGCGAGGCTATCTGTCTTGGTCCAAAATCAAACGACGCCTCCTCTCGGTGTTGCAAGGGGTCAGAAACTTCCCTGCTTCAAGTTGGGTACCAACGCTGCACTATCTCGACGCACCGATCACGTATTGAAAAGGTAGCAGTTAGGGCAGCTCGGGCAAAATATTACTTGTTGTGAACACGTCTTAGATTGCAATTTGGTACCGAGATGGTGAAATGGGCTGGAATCTGCTGGGTAATATATCCAGGCTGGTCACAGACAACAGACAGACGGACTTACGAGTCCGTTTTGCCCTCCCCTCTAAACAGTTTTTTTGAAAAACAAAAAGCGTCCCTATCGGGCCACTGCTCTTAAAAGAAAACTAATGCTAGAGTTGGAGGTGGAATAGTTTTTTGTGGTGGTTGCACAAAAGCACCTGCAGTAGGCTCGTGCGTCTGTTCATTGGTTGGCTCGTGTGATTTTCTCGTCGTACAGAAGAACGGGGGGCGGTCCATCATCACCA